CTCCCAAGCCCCCTAAAGCCCCCCAAACCCCCCAAAGCCCCAAAAGTGAAGGGGGAAGGGAAGAAAAAAGGCAAAAAAGTTAAAGAACCGCCTCCACCTGCCATTCCAAATTTAGACCTTCTTGAGGCCCACACAAAAGAGGCCCTAACAAAGATTGAAACACCAAAGAAGGGAAAGGTGAGCAGAGTTAATGTTCAGTAAGAATTTGGGGCCAGAGATCTCTTCATAGATTCTCTCCTGCTTTAGCTCATGGGGTTATGTGAGCTTCCAGCCTCTTGGTATCCAAGCATAATTTACGAACATGATCTTCCAGAACTGATATACCCTTCCTAGTCCATTCCCTTCCCCTTCTGTTACCCTGACTTTGTGTGGGCTCCCTTTATGAAATTAGTTGTGGTGACACTGCCAGTTTTCTGTCTGTGGGTTTTACTGGTTTGTTGGTTTGTTTTGCAGTATAATCAGTGGATGTTCACACTAGAGTGGGAGTCTAATGTGGAAGGTTTAGTGCCTTAACCAATGTCATTGGCAATATGAAGAATTTCTAGGAGCTAATGACGTTTTGTTTGATTATTCCACATGCTGGAGATCTCTATGGATTGCACAAGTTGTGAGAATTGGTCCATAATATGCCAAATAGTACATTAGACAAGCAGATTGACACGTTTTCCTTATTATCTGCACCTTGGAGTGCTTTTAAAATAAAGAATAATAATTTTCTGTTTGATGACATTTGATCTTTTAACCATCAATGTCAAATTATTTCTAGGCATATCTTAGCTCCTATTATGCTGAAAATTCACACTGACCAAATTGACATATGGGAAGTAGCAGGAGAGAGACATATTTTTTTGTCTTTGCATCTGAAATAACCTGTCAATCTCTATTACTTTTAACTAGGTTGCCAAGAATGCTTTGAATACCCCTAATAAAGAACCCGTTGATAAACAAAATGAAGTGGAAAAGTTTGAGGTTCGGGAGCAGAATAAATCCAAAACAGAAGCAAAATGGAAATATAAGGTATACCCTCTCATATCTTGGGCTTCAATAAACATTTCAGGAAGGACCATGGTTATCTTTAGTGTTCGTTACTAAATATTTTAGCACAAAGAAGAAGGAATATAGCTTGGAGAAATGTTCTCTGAAACTTCTCCTGACTTTTTGCTTTTTTGTTTGTTAGTTTGTTTTGCTGGTTAGACCAGTTTTGCTGCTCCAGTGATCTGTTTCTTTAACTTTTTTTTTTAATTTAATGTTTTCAGTTACAGGGTTTTTGTTTTTTCTTTGTTGAGTATTCAGAAATGATTATCACAAAACTAATTCAGAGTGAGGACAAAATTTCATGCATATCATTAGCTCTATTGACCTCTCCCTTTCTGGAAAATTGCCAGAGGCCCAGCTTGGTTTTTGTTTCTCTGTCTGGGTTTTTTGGGGGGTTGTGCTAGGCAAAATGCCTGCCCCCCCCAAAGGAATTTGCCAGTTTCAACTCAGCAATAGTAAATTATTTTATTTATTGATGATTGTTCTTTGCTTTGGGGGGGATTGTATTTGAAAAATGTTTGCAAAAAGCATTTTTCCAGTTTCAATTCAACCATGGTCAACTATTTATTTATTTATTTATTTATTGTTTGATTTATATGCCACCCATTTGTTAACAAACAATATGTAAAGACGGTTTGCAATTGATGCAGCATGTGAAACACAGTAAGTAAAAAGATAATTGATTAAATCATTAATAATGAAATCAATTAGCCCAAGAAATTATTTGGAGTTAAGAATCACAAAGTATGTATCACTGAGAAACATAATAATGGATACTAATTAATACACTATTTGCAAGAATATCTCCTTAGCATAGTTCTACTTCTGCTAGTGTGATGGAAAAGAAGCAACTTTTGCTAGCACTCTTTTTCCAAATAATTTTGAAGCACTCAGTGTAGTAGTGAAGGGGAGGTTTGAAGGAGGTTTTGCAGTGAGGCAGGAAAATAAGTGAAAAGTGCTTCCTGACTCTCTGCCTTCAGCAATATTGTGCACTGGATTTCCTTCTGTGGATGAAAACTATTCTCACAAGAGGTCCCAGGATTCAACTTACTGTGCAATTAGTATAATCACTTGACAAATGTACAATCCCATTTGTATCATATGCAGATGTATTTTTAATTGATCCTATAGATGCACATTCATTTCACAATTTAGGGAATAGTTTTCATCAACACAGCATTCAGTGGCATAAGGCTAGTGTGCAATTCCATCCTGTCTCTTGTGCCGTGTCCCATCATAAATCTCACTGAAGTCTAATTCACATTTTCACATCCATGCATAGCAAGATGTGAGCTGTTTTGCATGATCCAGTCCCACATGGCTGTGAAATCAGATGGCCCATCGGATTCTGTTGCTGGAAATTTAAGATATAGCACATTTTTTAACCAATGCCTTTTGTCCTTAAATACATTCTAATGAAATGGTAATTGTTTTCCATCACCCCTAATTTCTTTCTGTTTTCCTCTTAGTTTTATCACATAAAATTGACCTCAGTGTTTTAGTTTACAGTTAAAACTCCATGCCGGTTTTAAGCTCCAAGGAACGATGTTGTTTTACAGCAGCCAACTATAAGGACTGTTTCAGTACCCTTGTTGCTGTGCTATTGGACTATTTAGGGTTTTCCTGAGCAGCCATATTACCAAATAAGTCAACATATGTATTTTCACTTTGTAACAGATTATATGACTCAGAACAGTTCTTATGGGAGCAAAGCTGGGATGTACACTGTGCTATTTATATTCCATTTATTTTATGGAGCAACAAATACTCTCACAGCTAAAATAATAATTGCTTCCCTCTAATTTTCAGAACAGTAAACCTGATTCATTACTAAAAATGGAAGAGGAGCACAAACTGGAGAAGACACCGCTATCAGGAAATAAAGACAATAAATTTATGTTTTCCTTCTCCAACAAGAAAATACTGGGGTAGGTGAACACTGACTAATAAAACCAGTACTTGTTCTGATGATTTTTGGGAGCCTGCTGAATTTCAAAATTTACTTAATATGTCCAATATTATTCCCAGTTGAACCTAGGTGTAAGTAGACATGCCCAAACATATTTGTACTTGAGGTAACGTAATGAAAAGGAAGAAAGAGGAAGATGGATATAAAATGTTATCTTTGCTGTACGTAACTCAAAGAAGAACTCTTGTATGAAAACATGACCCAGACTTAAGCATAGATTTGTACCACTGTTAATAATGTAGGTCTGCTTCTCAGAAATTAGATAGAGGAAGCTTGGTAGTGCAATTGGCAACTTCAAAACAGGTATTACTAAGCAAAAGTTCTAGAGAATTCAGGGGTGACTGTTTCCAGCATATTCGAGTCTAGATCCAGAACTCCAGAAATTACTCGATCCCACCTAGGTGACTTCAGAAGTTGCCCAACTTGATTCAGTGATAAGGAAGGAAGGAAGGAAGGAA